CCTGAACTACAACGGGGAACTGCTGCTTTTTCTTTCCTAATCCTTACTATCGTCATTATCCTCTACTTCTTTTGGATGCTTGTCACACTCTTGGGACCCACTATTTCCGGAGTGACTTGAAAGTCGAAACAGGCTTTGTGCTGTTGAAGCTAGAGAGGTAAGCAGAGTAAGCCTGATTCCCTGTAAAGACTTCTCTGTTGACATCCACCCCTTGACGCTCATATGACCTTATGCAGTTGTGAGCGCCGTAAAGCCTCTACTAAAAAAATTTTAATAAATATTCTTAAAGAATGATAAGAGTACTAGACAATTACATTTCTTAAACATAGATATTAATTTTTGCACTTTTAGACAAACGCTTAAGCTCTCACAGACATAGTTCACCATAACGCCCATTCACCACCCAGTCTCCCGGATCTCCAGTTTCTGTTCACTCTTTTGATTGACTCTTTTTTTCCCACCTGCTCATTGTTTCGCAAAATGTATGATTGGTCCTTTTTTTCTTTGTTGTTGTTGTTTCGGTTTTTTTACTTTAATTAGAGGTAATCCGGCGAGTTTGTTTTTTATAATGAGAATTAAGTCACTAAGCGTCAACAAACAAGTGCCAGGTGTCATTTCGATAATAATAAGAATCGATACCGATCCTGATATGATGTAATCAATTCTAAATAAATAAACTATTGCATTCTGTCTTACCAAGATGGCTGCCTCAAAGTTCCGTACCGTTACCCCGATGTGTGTCTCACGTCTTGTTATGAATCAATCAAACTATGATCTAAAGAACCCAACGAACACAACACCAGGTGGCTCTATGTCACGTTTTTCTTAACAAAGTCTAAGGATACTGGTTTGCCTTTTTGGAGCAATCAGACAAAGTGCAATGTTTCAGAAATATTTCAAAGCTCCGAAGCTGTATTGCTCCTTTGTACAGCATACAGTTTCGTGAATAGCTACAAGCAGAAGATGGCAGTGTATATATTGTCTAGGGTAATGTAATAAGTCAGTCTTTAGCAAGGAAAATTATTGAATTAGAATCATGCTGCATACTATTTTGAGCAAAAGTACATGTACATTATCTCTAAAAATGTTATTTCCATTAGTACGGATGTGGAAACGCAGCCATTAAAATGTGATACTTCCTATCGAATATTCCACCGGAAGAAAAGGGATTTAGAGGCG